AACGTAATATCGTAAGTTTGGACATCTGGTAACAACATAACCTTGAAGTATTAGTGACTCCGTATCAGCATCACATAATTTTTTTCGTGCGAAAATGTCAAGTTTTGTGCCGAATAAGCGTCATTTGCAGGATTTTGATTTACTTCTTTAAGCTTTTGATTTACTTTTTTAATTTGAAGAAATCTGTCGTTGAGGCGCATCGATTGCTTGTAGAAGCATATGGTGAGACTGCTTTAAATTCACCAAGTTGTCGTGAGTGGTTTCAAAAATTTAAAAACGGTGAGTTTGACGTAGAAGACAAAGAACGTAGTGGAAGGCCGAAAGTGTACGAAGACATGGAGTTGGAAGTATTAGGTGCGCAACTAAGTTCCCGCTGTTTTTCAAGAGATGGCTCCAGTAGTAAGTGCTAGTCGATTGTGACATAACCAAAACGTCATGAACCAAGCTTAGACATATGGTAAACAAACCGCTTTGACACATTAGTGATTTTGTTTTTGCGTCATATACTTTTGGTTGTGTGAAAATGTCTGATTTTGTGCCAAATAATCATCATTTGCGGGAAGTGTTGCTTTTCTTCTTTCATTCGAAGAAAACGGCGGCTGAAGCGCATCGAGAACTCCAAAAAGTTTACGGAGATGCTGCTCTAAGTGAAGCAACGTGCCGTGATTTGTTCCGTCGCTTCAAAGACGGTGATTTCGAGGTTGACGACCGTTCGCGTGAAGGAAGGCCAAAAACCTTCGAAGATGCTGAATTGGAGGCATTGCTTGATGAGGATTCGTGCCAAACGCAAAAAGAGCTTGCTTCAGCATTAGGAGTTACCCACCAAGCCATTTCCAAGCGATTGCATGCGTTGGGAATGATTCAAAAACAAGGAACTTGGGTTCCTTATGATTTGAAGCCAAGAGACGTTGAGCGTCGTTTTTTCGCCTGTGAACAACTGCTCCAGCGGCAAAAAAGGAAGGGTTTACTTCATCGCATCGTTATGGGTGATGAAAAATGGATTCATTACAGCAACCCAAAGAGAACAAAATCATGGGGACTGCCCGGTTATGCTTCTACGTCGTCGGCTCGGCCGAATATTCACGCTGCGAAGGTTTTGCTGTGTATTTGGTGGGACCAGGGCGGTGTTATTTATTATGAGCTGTTGAAACCGAACGAAACCATCACTGGGGAACGGTATCGAACTCAATTGATGCGATTGAGCCGAGCACTGCGCGAAAAGCGGCCACAATACGAGCAGAGGCACGAAAAAGTGATTCTACAGCATGACAACGCTCGGCCTCACGTTGCCAAACCCGTTAAAACCTACTTAGAAACGCTCAAATGGGAAGTCCTACCCCACCCGCCATATTCCCCAGATATTGCGCCGTCCGATTATTACTTGTTCCGTTCGATGGCACATGGCCTATCTAAGCAGCGCTTTACATCATATGAAGATACTAAAAATTGGGTCGATTCATGGATAGCCTCAAAAGATGAAGAGTTTTTCCGACGTGGTATCCGAATGCTGCCAGAAAGATGGGAAAAAGTAGTGGCTAGTGATGGACAATACTTTGAATAAAACGTAATGTACCGTTCTTTCACAATAAATTCCTAATTTTTGATAGAAAACGGCGGAAACTTATTTGTACTCCTAATATATATAAGTACTGCCAGAATTAAACAGTGACAGTTTATGTTAATATTATTAACATGTATGCTATAGATTTTCAGTTCTGACAGTGAATGTGAAAACGCTATCGAAGTACATACCCAGATAGTCAAACCTGCGCGAGCAAATTTCGAACAAAGCCTGCTATCATAGTTTGATGGCAAATAGGCATCAAATTTAACGCAGAATCTGTTATATCAAATTATGCCGCCAATCTGCGGTCAAATATGCGCCAGATCCTGTTGTCAGATATTTTACGGCAGATTTGTAGCAGAAACCGCGCAAGACTTACAGTAATTTGACGGCAGATTGGCGGCAGAAACTGAGCAAACTCTACGCGCAGACTCTACGTGTAGTTTGGCAGCAGGACCTGCGCGGTTTCTGCCGACAATCTGCTCGCACGACCTGTCACACAGGTCCTATCGACAAAACACGAGCCTAATGAGGACACAGATGGCTATAATTTTGATGTGGAGATCTGATCGAAATTGGCGTCAATCTGCGCGCATTCCGTTAGCATTTTGCTTATTGGGTACTTTGCTCTCTCAATCTTAACAGGAGCTTGGGCAAGCCACTTGGAAGTAGTATCTGCAATTTCATCATCACTTACGTGTTGGTGTGTTGTACGAACAGCTTCTATAACATAAAACATTATTAAAAACATTTTAGTTTTAATAATATTTATATGCAGGATATTTGGCAGCATTCGTACGTCTGCTCGTGTGCAGGTAATGCGTTAAGCATATTGTGTACTAATGTTACATATACAGTCATACAAATACATTACCTACACATATGTTTAGTATACCCGTATCAATATATATATACATATATATATATATTGTTCACAATGCAATGTATATTAGAAACTTGTAACAATATGTAATATATAGTTTTGCTATATACTAGGTGTGCAACTAAGTTTCCGGGTTTTTTTGATCAACGAAAAATGGAAAATTTCAAGAGAAATATAAAAAATGGTTTATTCAAAGTATCGTCCCTCGCTAGCTACACATTTTTGCCATCTCTCTGGCAATACCGCGACGATAAAACGACGCGTCTTTGGACCGAAACCATTCACCCAACCAATTTTGCACTTCTTCGAAATTGGCCAAGTGTTGCCCAGCCTAGCCATGCGCCATCGACCGGAACAAGTGATAATCGGAAGGAGCCAGGTCTGGCGAATACGGCGAGTGCGGTAGCAAATCCCATTTCAGCGTTTTGATGTCCTGGACGATGGAAGTGCGATGGCATGGAACGTTGTCATGCTGCAATATCACTCGTTCGTGTCTCGTGTCCCATTCTGGCCGTTTTTCGAGCAATGTATGGTTCAAATTGATCAGTTGTTGTCGGTAGCGATGCCAATTGACAGTTTTGCCCGGTTTCAGCAGCCCATAATACACGATTCCTTTTTGGTCCCACCAAATGCAAAGCATTGTCTTCTTTCCGAAGCGATTTGGCCGTGCCGTCGATGTTGATGCTTCGCCAGGTAAAAGCCACGATTCTTGCGTTAGGGATTCTCGAAATATATCCACTTCTCATCGCCAGTAACAATTCGATGCAGGAAACTCTTTCTTTCATGCCGCAAAAGCAAAATTTCGGAAGTGGCTTTTCCACTTTCCATTTGTCTCTCAGTCAACTCATGCGGAACCCATTTTCCTTCTTTCTGGATCTTTCCCATCTCATGTAGGCGTTTGGAAATCGTTTGCTGCGTTACTCCCAACTGTTCTGCAAGCTCTTTTTGTGTTTGTGCCGAATTCTCTGCGAGCAGTTGCTCCAAATCATCATTATCGCATTTCGGAGGGCCTCCAGGGCGTTGTTTGTCGATTAGATTGAAATTACCCCTCACGGAAAAAAACTATTGGATTGCTAATAGTAACTATTAAACGCCAATAGTTACTATTGACAATCCAATAGTTATAACTAGTGGGAATTATTAGAATGTAATAGTAGGTACTATTAAAATATACACTAGTGCAGATATTTAACAGTATACACTAATCATTCAATAGTACAAACTAATAGTGTGCAGAAGTATGCAATATTAAAATAACTAATAGTATGCATTCTGTATATTGCACACTTCTGTACACTATTGGTTAGCATTATTGAATGATTAGTGTATATTGTTAAATCTTTACACTAGTGCATATTTCAACAGTACTTACTATTACATTCTCATAATTCCCAATGATCAATTGTTAACAATTGTATAGTGGGCACTATTTATTACTAATATTGTTGTCGTGATTTCTGCTTATAACTATTGAATTGCTAATAATAATTATTGGCGTTCAATAGTTAGTATTAACAATCCAATAGTTTTTTTCTGTACGGGAAACGTAAAGAAATTAATGTAAAAATAATCTTATCAATTTATTTATTAAATAGTTACAATTACATAATACTGAGAAATTAATCACGTTCAATATTATTTACAAGGCGAACAATGTAATGCTTATCCATATTGTCATATAGAATGTTTATACATTTGCTATGTAACATGTCAGGAAAGACAGCGACGACGGAATCAGTCATGCAAGTAATGTGAACAAGACGATTCGATGAAAGTGTTGGATTGTTTGTTTTACAAATTTCCACATCAACACGATTAAGAATCTTCCCAATAATAACATATCGTACATCATCATTTGACACAGTACGGACACCGAAAATTCCGGATATTGTTATAAACATATCATTTTGTAGTAATGCTGTACTGTTGTGTCGTTTTTGAAGTTTTTTATAGTTCTCGGCATGCCATAACACGTTTCGAAAAATAAAACGCTTGTATCTGTCACTCTCGTTTAAAACACTTTCATGTAAAAGAGTTTCTATACATGTTTGCTCTATTAACGTTAATGGTCTTCGAACCAGCTTTCCAAATATTTTAAAATTAGGTTCATACTCCAAATAATTTTTTGTATGATACATTGTACTCATTTTATCATATAAAATTTGTATATTTTTAGAACAATCGGGTTTCGAAAACACCTCTAAACATAAATTTTCAACACGCTTTGATCTGAGATATGATTTGCATATTTGTTCTGAAACGGCTTGCGAGTTGCGAAACATTTTTCTTAGTATTCCATTATAGTATTCATAAGGAAAAGTAGATATAGCCCATAGAGCTCCGAACTGTTTAACATACTCTGGGATATGTAACAATAAATGTACATTAAACTTGTAATATTCTAAGCCATATAAGTCTTCTATTTTAAACACAAATGTTTTCAATGCACTTGTAGCCATCGATAAATCTATGTCACTGATTTTTTCTTGTAGAAATATATACATACTATAAAATATAAGAAGGAACCAATATTTCAAATATTGTAAAGGCATTACATTTTGTAAACAAATAAGAGAGTAGTAAAGTAAGAAATGCTTCCATTCTGATGCTTTCCATAAATTTCTTTCATTGATAGATCTGGACGTTCAAGTAATCTCACACGGTGGCTTTATTTGCAGAAGTTTTTCATCAATAAGCTTTATTTTGTTTCCTATATACCAGATTTTTTCGTGATTTGACGAATTAAACCAGGCATCCGTAAAAGTTTTACACACTCCCAGTAAAACAGTATGAAGGTAATCAGGTGTAAACGAAAACGTAATGTTAAAAACTGGTAAGAGCATTAAAATCGATTGCCCTTTCACACCGTGAGATACAGTTCGAGTTTGCATAGCAATTTCACAATCAACTTCATGTTGGCGCGATGTATGCAGTTCCTGTACGCAACCGGGATATATTCTTGTCATTCCTCTACCAATTTCAACTTGTATACCTTCATGCAAGCAAAAACTGCATCCGAAGCTCCCGTTATATTGTTTTATATTTCGTAACAAAGGTCGCGCGACAGAATCTACAGGAGACGCGATTGTATGTACTCTAATACGAATTTCTTCTTCACCAAGCACGTTACGCCTACGTTACGTAATACCTATTTCATGCATGGAGGTCAATTCTTTAACGAGTAAAGATAAAAATAAATTCATATCAGGTTTTTCTTTACCATACCACAGCTACATAACATCATATTTTTTCTCCTTTCTCTGTACGGCAATTCATTCACCATCGCTTATATAGGCCACATAGATACAGACGATGAACGAAACACTTGAACGTCGTCAGTACTAATTTGCAGCGTGATATCATGTAATTGAATTATCCCTATATCTTTTAAAAATGTATAAAACTTTCCGGAAGTTATATCAGAATAATTATCGTTTTCTCTTTGAAGCATAGTATACTTTTGCTATTCACAAAGTCGCGCAACTGCTGCTCCAAAGGCAAATATAGGAAATAGTTCCTATTTTTTTCCAATGCATATTTGTTATATCTACATTGACATTCTCGACAAACAAAGTTTTCTTCCGGTTTATTATCCGCAACAAGTGTTTTAAACTTTATATAACACTCTGGACAATAATAGCAGTTACATATTGACGCTGGAGTATCATATTTCTTCATAAATATGTGCTTCGTATGGTATACCGAGTATGGTAAGTGACAATTTATCAAAGCGATGAGGTCTTCAATAGCAACATTAGTCAGATTGTGTCGTATCGCAAAGTTTAATATGAGAAGTTCACTTTCTATCTTGGATATATTCGATCGTTCATATAATGGAACTTGTTCCTGTAAGTTGAATATCAAATATTATTTGCACATTCAAAAAGTTATTTTTAGATATTGATAATTAAACTCTACAACGTACATCATAGATTTCATACAGATTATACAAAGTATGAATGTACATATTGTAACATTTTTCCATATAAAATATGCTACAAACTTATGGCAGATTTCTCTTTGGCTGCAAAATTTACACTCACAAACTTTAATTTATTAGAATCCATTAAAGTACCTGATCATTGCTCTCTGCTGAAACAAAATCTGCTTTTCCTGCAAACTCGAAACATTCTTCATAGTCTTGAAACATTTCATCTAAATTAGATACATCATTATTATCTAGAATATCAAACACGCTTCGTCTTTCGTTTCTACTCGAACTGTTTGAATCATCTGATATCGATACAGTATCAGAGTCTGCTCTATGAACTACAGAGCTGTCATCCGTACTGGTATTCTATAAAATAAAATACAAATTGCATTGTCAAGAATGGTAGTAAAAGTATTTTGTTTTCAAAGTGTTCTACATTCATTATTAAATAATTCAAGGGGATATTTTATTTTGAAGAACAGAATAATATTTTTAGTCACAATTTACAAAGAGCATAAGACCTTATGAACAATTTATTTGATCATTGATATAACCTGAACTTTATAAAATATAGTAAATCAGAAAATATCATTGGCTTTCGGATCAATAGAAAAGTATTACATATTTTTACAAGATTTCATACACGTATGTGTATTTCACTGTAAGTTTCATTATTTTTATTTTACTCCATCTAATGTTTGGAATATTTTGTATCAACAAAAAAATTATATCAAAGTAACTTTTATATAAAATGGTTTTATATAAAAAACTTTAATATAAAATGGTAAATTTATAAATTGGTTTGTATTTGCCAAACATACTAAATTTTTATTTGAAAAGTTGAAATTTGATGCAGTAATTATACAATACTTACTGCATTAGCACTATCTCCTGGATTGTCAGGTAAATTTGAGTCGTTAACACTTTCATCACTATCTTCCGACATATCTTCAGCAGTAGTGGCACATTTGTCGTTATTGGAACTCACAGATAATTGTCGTGATATCATTCACTTGTATCATTCACTTGTTGTTTCCAAAAGGAAATAAAGGAGTACATATTCTATTATAAATAAGAAATTATACAGGGTAGGGGGTTATAAGTTTACAATCCGAAATGTGAAGGTAGATTGGGTTAAAACAAACATAAAAGTCCCATACCATTTTGCGAGATTCGCAATAATTATCGAGTTATTAATGACAGAAATCTGAGGAATGGGAGCGCGCCGACATAGATGATTGGAGAAGCGTTGCAACTACTCAGGCCACAACGCGACCCACTCGACCTAGCAACTGTTGGCAGCGTGCGGCGAGACGTAAATCCGGCGAGATAAAACAACGAATAGCAGCGCATTATCTTTCCCCTCGCCGCGCACCGGCAACTGTTGCTGGATCAACTGAGCCGCACTGCGGCCTAAGCAGCTGCAACGCTTCTCTAATCATCTATGCCGGCATGCTCCCACTCCTCAGATTTCTGTCATTAAGAACTCGATAATTATTGCGAATTTCGCAAAACGGTACGGGACTTTTATGTTTGTCTTAACCCAATCTACCTTCACACTTCGGGTTGTAAACTTTTAACCTCCCCACCCTGTATATATAAAAGATATTTTTGTAATGAAATATATAAATATTAAAAGTGAGTTTCTCTTTTCTTTTATGTCATTCTTTTACAATACAATCAAAATTAAATGTACTAAGTAAAGAGGAATCATAAATATATATTATAAACTGACCTGTTGTAACAGCATCTGTTCTCCTTGTTTACGAAAACGGATTGTTGACTCAGGTACTAGCACATTTTCATCTTGCAAATATCGCTTATAATACCCTCTTTTAGTCAATCCATTATCATTATTCTTATCCATTTTTTACATGTAATATATATTACACGAATATATATATGGAGAAACACTTAACGTTAACGTCTATATCCGTTATTTTACATCCAGTACTTAGAAAACTTACAAAAGAGTATAAACAATCAAATTCACTTAGCTCGCTTAGCGCTCGTGCTCTACTAGGGCTGCGTTTCATAATTCACTACCAGTACTGAAAATCTATTATACGAGGGTGGTCCGATAAGTACTTAGCCTACAAAAAAAAAACGAAAATTTTGGAAAAGTGGCGATTTATTTCTCAACATAGTCTCCTTTTAGCTCGATACACTTGACCCAGCGATGCTCCAACTTCTTTAACCCGTCTGAAAAATACGTTTTCTCGAGGTCTGCAAAGTAGGCCTCCGTGGCGGCGATGACCTCTTCATTCGACTCAAATTTCTGCCCGGCGAGTGACTTTTTCAAGTTTGGAAACAAAAAGAAGTCGCACGGGGCCAAATCTGGAGAATACGGTGGATGGGGCAGCAGTTCGTAGCCCAATTCGACCAATTTGACCGTGGCGAGGGCGGAGGTGTGAGCCGGTGCGTTGTCATGGTGGAAGAGCACTTTTTTCTTCGCCAAATGGGGCCGTTTTTTCTGCAATTCGGCGTCGAATCGGCCCAATAATTCGGCATAGTACAGCCCTGTGACCGTTTTGCCCTTCTCCAGGTAGTCGATGTAGATCACACCTTGTGAATTCCAGAAAACGGTGGCCATCACCTTTCCGGCCGATAGGACAGTCTTCGCCTTCTTCGGAGCACGTTCGCCGGAAGAAGTCCACTGTTTCGACTGTTCCTTGGTCTCTGGTATGTACCAGTGGATCCATGTTTCGTCGACGGTCACGAAAACGACGCAGAAACTCCTTCGGATTGCGCTTAAACAGCGTCAAACACTGCTCTGAAGTGGTCTCACGATTGCGCTTGTTGTCCGGAGTGAGCAAACGCGGCACCCATCGCGCCGACAGCTTTCTCATGCCCAAAATTTCACGCAGGATATGACCCACGCGGTTTTTTGAGATGCCTACTGTCTCAGCTATCTCGCGCACCTTCAATCGGCAGTCTGCCAATACGAGATCGTGGATTTTTGTCATGTTATCCTCCGTGGTAGCCGTTTTCGGGGCACCTGAGCGTGGCTCATCAAAAACCGACGTGCGACCATGTTGAAACTCGTTAAACCAATTTTTGACGGTCGCCATCGAAGGAGAAGAGTCACCGTACACAGCATCCAAGCGCTCTTTGATTTCGCTGCGCGATTTCCCTTCCAAAAACAAGAATCGAATCACCGACCGATATTGCTCTTTTTCCATTTTTCTAAAATCCGCGGACATGCACGCTTCCACACGCGGTTAAAATAAAACTACGAGTCCGATTCGGCTGAAATTTCGACAGTAGCCGTCTACGAGAATGTACTACACGATAGTAAATTTCTCTTGCGATAGTGGCGCCATCGGGCGGTGAGGCTAAGTACTTATCGGACCGCCCTCGTATACATGACGCAAATTGTAGATGTTCAGTGCTGCTGGTTGGAACACAGTTTGAATGCGTGGATTTGAGCAACTACGTCACCTCACGCATACAGAGAGTGATAAGTTAAATGAGACAAAATTCAAATGTTTTATCCTCTCCACTTACACAGAACGATGTCTATCCGTGTGATGACCGTCGTCATTTATTCGTCCCATGCGGTTCACCACTGCATACAGAGTGAGTGCTCAATGCGTTTCCACGAGAAATCACAAAGCCTTCAACATTGCGGTTCAGCAGAAAAAGCAACTTATTAAGCGCTTTACGCTATGTTGCTAGCAGCTTTACAAAGCAAAGCCGATATAAGTCGATAAATAAATATGTGTCAATATATCATTATTATTAGATCCTACAAAAGCACAGTTGCTATTCAAATAAAACTGATACGTTCGCGGGTATTCGCACAATGAAGTAGTCACTAAGGCAAATGGCTGCGTTCAACAGAAAAAGCAGCTTATTAAACGCTTTACGCTGTGCTGCCAGCAGCTTTACAACTGTTGTAAGATTTTCTGCTGAACGACACTTAGCGGTTAACGCTTTTCCAACATGTTTACTAAGTGGACGCCGTTTCTTCCAGCGAAGTTTCAATATGCTGCACCGATGACATAATTGAACGCGAGACCATAGTGAAAGTTCGATGGCCAAAAGGCTGACCTCTGTGAAGTTGGCCCCACTTTTTCAAAATTTGAAAAAAATTAGCAGAGTTCTGATTGCCCCTCAAAGAGTTCTAGAGTTCTCTATCAATAAAAAAAAGAATTCCGTTGATTAAAGTGATCAAAACACGAAATAAAGTTATGGGGGGCCAACTTCACAATTGCATAAATTTTATAAGACCATAACTTTTTTAACTTAAACTTTAGCGCTTTGATGCTTAAAGAAAATCGACAGATCTCTTCGGGAGGCTACCAGAACTCTCAAGAAATTGACCGATTTTCGAAAAAAAAATTTCTCTTAGAAAATTCGGCATCTGCGATACTTTGATGAGCTACAACTTTTTCATTTCCGCTCGAATCGATTCGAGTCATAAGGAAAACCGATAAAACTCTTCGGGGGGCTACCAGAACTCTCAAGAAATTGACCGATTTCCGAAAAGAATTTTTCTCTTAGAAAATTCGACATCTGCGATACTTTGATGAGCTACAACTTTTTCATTTCTGCTCGAATCGATTCGAGTCATAAGGAAAACCGATAGAACTCTTCGGGGGGCTACCAGAACTCTCAAGAAATTGACCGATTTCCGAAAAAAATGTTTCTCCTAGTTGGACTTACAAGGAACGGTCGAGGGCGTCCCTCACCGATTTGAATGGGCATTGGATATGTTGTAGAGGATCAAAAAATATTAGACACGTATTTTTTTATATGTGCTTATCTCGAGGTTTAGGGGTTGAAATCACCCTTTGAAAGAAACGGATTTTTTCGTTTTTATCAAATATCTTCTAAAATATGAGAGATATGAAAACATAGTAAATGTAAGAGTTTTACAGTATTTCATGCTCTTTGCACCTGTCAATTCAAATTTTTCAATATATCAAATTTACCCTCCCCGTTCCCCCCTCCACTCATTATTTTCGCAAATTTCAAAAATTTTGTAAGAACAAAAATTGAAGAGCATTGATTTCTGAATCCATCCATATATAATAATAGTATGATTCCTCGATCCAATTTTTAGAAAAACAGTACGATGACATCGTGGTAGGCACTGCACTATGCCAGTAGGTAGGTACTGTTACGTGGCGTTCTCTCTCTTCAGTTGTGCTATGCTTAATAACTTTCTGTGCATAATTTATCCTACTGCAAGATGAAAATGAATTAATTGTAATATGCCATGTATTATACAAAAAAAACAGTGAGTACAGATGAATATGCATACGAGGGCGGTCCGATAAGTACTTAGCCTCACCGCCCGATGGCGCCACTATCGCAAGAGAAATTTACTATCGTGTAGTACATTCTCGTAGACGGCTACTGTCGAAATTTCAGCCGAATCGGACTCGTAGTTTTATTTTAACCGCGTGTGGAAGCGTGCATGTCCGCGGATTTTAGAAAAATGGAAAAAGAGCAATATCGGTCGGTGATTCGATTCTTGTTTTTGGAAGGGAAATCGCGCAGCGAAATCAAAGAGCGCTTGGATGCTGTGTACGGTGACTCTTCTCCTTCGATGGCGACCGTCAAAAATTGGTTTAACGAGTTTCAACATGGTCGCACGTCGGTTTTTGATGAGCCACGCTCAGGTGCCCCGAAAACGGCTACCACGGAGGATAACATGACAAAAATCCACGATCTCGTATTGGCAGACTGCCGATTGAAGGTGCGCGAGATAGCTGAGACAGTAGGCATCTCAAAAAACCGCGTGGGTCATATCCTGCGTGAAATTTTGGGCATGAGAAAGCTGTCGGCGCGATGGGTGCCGCGTTTGCTCACTCCGGACAACAAGCGCAATCGTGAGATCACTTCAGAGCAGTGTTTGACGCTGTTTAAGCGCAATCCGAAGGAGTTTCTGCGTCGTTTTCGTGACCGTCGACGAAACATGGATCCACTGGTACATACCAGAGACCAAGGAACAGTCGAAACAGTGGACTTCTTCCGGCGAACGTGCTCCGAAGAAGGCGAAGACTGTCCTATCGGTCGGAAAGGTGATGGCCACCGTTTTCTGGAATTCACAAGGTGTGATCTACATCGACTACCTGGAGAAGGGCAAAACGGTCACAGGGCTGTACTATGCCGAATTATTGGGCCGATTCGACGCCGAATTGCAGAAAAAACGGCCCCATTTGGCGAAGAAAAAAGTGCTCTTCCACCATGACAACGCACCGGCTCACACCTCCGCCCTCGCCACGGTCAAATTGGTCGAATTGGGCTACGAACTGCTGCCCCATCCACCGTATTCTCCAGATTTGGCCCCGTGCGACTTCTTTTTGTTTCCAAACTTGAAAAAGTCACTCGCCGGGCAGAAATTTGAGTCGAATGAAGAGGTCATCGCCGCCACGGAGGCCTACTTTGCAGACCTCGAGAAAACGTATTTTTCAGACGGGTTAAAGAAGTTGGAGCATCGCTGGGTCAAGTGTATCGAGCTAAAAGGAGACTATGTTGAGAAATAAATCGCCACTTTTCCAAAATTTTCGTTTTCTTTTGTAGGCTAAGTACTTATCGGACCACCCTCGTATGTGGCAATAGTAGCAAATGCGTGTGCAGCGTCGCTATTTGTACAGAAATTTCCAATATATATTTGTATATTTCTTGAAATAAGTATATTTATTGTAATGGCAAGTCGACACATGATCAAGACGAATTAAAATAAAGTCGTAATGCATGAAATAAGGAAACATAGATTCTATTACCTCTGCAAGAAAGAGCAAGCGTGCGATGTGAAAATATAACACAGCAATAATAATTTCTAAACAATATATAACGAAGAGCTTAATACTAATTATGGAATAATAATGTAGAGGAACAGGATAGAGAGGAATAATATAATAAATTGTGGAAGAATAATACTGGCAATAATATATTTAACAATATATGTGATAAAGAAACAGTACACAATTTGCATATTGCCCGCGAATAATGAATTTGTATTATTTTTATGGTACATATTCGTTGCAAAGGTGATGATTATGGAAAAAATGTGTCATACACAATGATTTTTTACACCAAGAACAAGTAGTTAGAGTAGAATAGCAGTTTGGCCACAAATATCGCATTTTATGTTTAAATCACTTTGGAAGCAAAATTCAACCGGTGTTTGAAACTCTGTTGGTCTAGTCTGTATATATCCACTTTTAAACCAGGCATATTTAAATAAATTTTGAAGCGACGAGAATTGATGGTACGTTAATGATTGCAATTTCAATATATTATTTCTAGCATGAAGATCAATTGCAAGATTTAATAACATAACAGTATCAGAAAAATGCCTAATAAAATTTTTCTATAATCGGAAGCCGTATACATCTAACGGTTGTATTTTTCCTGTTGCACCGGCTGGAATTGTTAGGAAAACAATATCTGTTGCAAAATCTGTTCTCGTCTCCTCAATTATGTTGGGACAATGTCCAAGAATCTAATAATAATATGGATTGTAGACCAACATTCGGAAAAAATACTTCTTTCAACCAAGTTTTTATATGACTCGATGTTAATTTGCCTGATTTAGAAACCGTAACAAAAATATTGGGTGCTTTGAACATAGTTTCTTTTACTCTAGGACCGAATGTTCCTATTACTTCCTTTAAATTAATAAAAAAAGGCGATAATAGTCTACCATCTGCAGAAATAATCGGCTGTATAGTATAACTGTGTGTGGTTGCTGATGTAGATTGTATTACAGCTTCTATATTTTTTAGACCTTTTTGGGATAAAGTACGACCAGAGTGAAATTCAAGTTGGAATCCACTCTGATCCGAATTATAAACATTGTCTACGCCGTATCGTTCAATATAATATTTTACATTTTCAATAAATGTATTACACTTATCTTCTAAATCTGTTTTCGATAACAATGATTTTTTTGTTACAAATTTTGTTATTTTTCGAGAGACGATATCATATGAAGTTTTGAATCTTTTTACTCACGTTTCGGAAGCTTTGAATTCTACCACATTTTCCTCTTCTTGTGCTCGAGAAGCCCATCGAGCAATGTCAATATCATGAATAATTATTCTATTTTCAAGCGCTTCATTAAAACGGTTTATTATATATGCAGAAATTCTTTTTAATTTTTCATCTCTGCTGCCACCTGCACTGATTTGGTCCTCCCATCGTCGTAATTGTCGCATCGATGTTACTTTTCTGCATCTTCTTTTAACTCCTTCAAGCGATCTTAGTTCTGTTTTACTGCTCTTCCAGTATTCCACAGCTTGCCTTTTGTAATCATTTGATATTCCTGCTTCAACGGAGCTACAAATAACTTCTTCCGGGAGATATTTTTTTCTTTCATTTTCCTCTAATAAATCGATATTTTCCGCTTCTGGAACTTCATATCTATTGTAAAAATCTAAAGTTTCTTCTTCTTCTATTTCAAATTCCTCTTCATTTTCTATTTCTTTTAACAAATATTCAATCTTCCCCTTCACTTCTATTTCTTTTGGAGTTATCGGACTTTGTGCAAAGTTAAGAGCAATGAAAGTTGTATAGAGTAACATTATAACATTCAACGGATTAAATTCATTCTGGAAAATATTAAAATGAAATATTTTTCTCGAACCATGATATATAAAATAATATATAAAATAAAACACACTTTATAATTAATGCAGTGATTTTCTTATGTTAATCCTGATGCCGCTTCTTCTCTTTGTCAAATATATGTAGTGAATCCAGAATAAATTAATGTCGTGAAAACGGAAAGACAGCTCTATATTTACGTATGTAGATATTCTGCAATTGAAATAACATATTTTTTCTTCAAATTAGTAAAAATTTTCTTTGATTATTAATCATTATTATATATAATTTATAATTTAACTCTTGCTCAATTTCGCTCCATTTTTCCGTATATTATCACATTACTGATAACTCGACAAACTATTGCAATTCCAATAATATAAAATAGAGAGTGACAAGATATGTAATAATAAATATAAAATAATAATATCAGTTAGTAATAATAATAAATAATAATAATAAATATAAAATAATAATATCAGTTAGTAATAAATATTGGGTGAGTGCAAAAGTTCGTGCGGAGTTTCAATAGATGGAGTTATAAGCGTCGTAAAATGTTGTCATTAATATTTCCATCTACATATTATATAACGTTGGAAAGGTGACGTCTTCAGCTGTTATTAAAAAAAAAATCATTTGTTTTCATACAAACTGCTTCGAGAAATATCACTTTAAAAATGAGTATCGATAAGGTGCATTTACGGCATGTTATGCTTTACGAGTTTCGGAAGGGAATAAACGTTGCCGCAGTCGTAAAAAACATTCAGGATGTTTACTAGGATGAAGCACCAGCTAAACGAACTGTGGAAAAATGGTTTGCTAAATTTCGGCGCGGAGAATTTAACCTTGAAGACGAGCCACGCTCTGGTCGACCTTCTGACATTGATGACGATGTTTTGCGTACTTTAGTGTTCAATAATCCGCGAATTTCAACAGAAAAAGTTGCTACAGCACTAAACGTTGACCGATCAACCGCTTTTCGGCATTTAAAAAAGATGGGATTCGATTTGAAGCTCGATATATGGGTGCCCCATTTGCTGACCGAAAAGAACAAAATCAAGCGAATTTCTGCAGCCGTTTCTTTATTCGGGCGGCTCAATAACGAGTCGTTTTTGGATCGACTAGTGACGGACGATGAGAAATGGGTCCTCTACAACAATGTTCAGCGCAAACGGACATGGAAACAATCAGGTGAGCATGGTGACGCAATGCCAAAGGCCAGTTTGCATCCGATGAAGGTGATGCTCTCTGTTTGGTGGGATTGCAAGGGCATAATCTATTTCGAGCTTCTCCCCGCTGGCGAAACGATTGATTCGGACAAGTACTGTCGCCAATTAACCAATCTGAATCGAGAAATAAAAGAGAAACGTCCGATTTTGTCAAATCGCAAGGGAGTCGTCTTTCATCACGACAACGCCAGACCACACGTTCCGAAAAAGACGCTGCGCAAACTGAAGAGCCTGAAATGGGATGTCTTAACGCATCCACCGTATTCTCCTGATATCGCACCATCTGACTATCACTTGTTCCGGTCATTACAAAATTATTTAAATGGAAAAAACTTGGACTCTTTGGAGGCCTTAAAAACGGCGTCTCTTCGTTCTTCGAATCTAAACCGCGCAGTTTTTATGATCGAGACATCCGTATGCTGCCAGAACGTTGGGAAAAGATTATAGAAAACGATGGAGAATATATCATTGATTGAATAAAGATTTTTGTTTGCTTAATCACTGTGTGACTTTTACTCACAAACTCCGCACGAACTTTTGCACTCACCCAATACTTATGTATTTAACAAAGAATGTATTAAAAGAAGTTTTAAACACACACATAGAGAGAAAGCAATATGTACTTATAAACTTGCGCTCACAAATGATACGTCGTGAAACGATGGATACTTACTGCGACACTAGCTTGTACTACTGCTTATATATGAAATGTATCTCTACATATTACGGTTACTCATGATTTGCATCGCACAAAGTGGCTGCTTTCCAGCACTTTAAATAGTTCACATAACGGTAACGTCTACGATACTTGATATTCTTCTATTATTAGAACTATGACAAAATCGAAAGTAAACAGGATGGAAAGAAGATATGACAATAATACGACGACACAACACTTTCACGATTGTAGATGTGTATGTGTATATGTGGTGCGTGTGCGTGAAAATAATTACATTATCAATATCATATTAGATATAATTATGCAATCACGTATGATTTCATGAATGCGGCGTTTTTTACGTGTTATAGATTCGATGGAAACGCCGCGTTAATAAACATGATCGCCTATTATTCAAAAGAAATTCGAAGAGGACGTGTTGTGTATATTATCGAGTTGATATTTTGAAAAATTTCAATTGACAGATGCAAAGAGCATCAAATACTGTAAAACTCTTACATTTACTATGTTTTCATATCTCTCATATTTTAGAAGATATTTGATAAAAACTAAAAAATCCGTTTTTTTCAAGGGGTGATTTCAACTCCTAAACTTCGAGATAAGCACATATAAAAAACTACGTGTCTAATATTTTTTGATACAATATATCCAATATATCCAATATATTTTTTGATACATTATATCCTCTACAATATATCCAATGCCCATTAAAATCGGTGAGGGACGCCCCCGACCGTTCCCTTGTTAGAAAATTCGGCGTCTGTGATACTTTGATGAGCTACAACTTTTTCATTTCTGCTCGAATCGATTCAAGTCATAAGGAAAACCGATAGAACTCTTCGGGGGCTACCAAAACTCTCAAGAAATTGACCGATTTTCGAAAAAAATTTTTCTCTTAGAAAATTCGACATCTGTGATACTTTGATGAGCTACAACTTTTGCATTTCTGCTCGAATCGATTCGAGTCATAAGGAAAACCAATAGAACTCTTCGGGAGGCTATCAGAACTGTCGTCTGGACTGCGAAATTACGAAAAAAAATGCAGCTTTTGAGGATTTAGAAAATATCTGAAAACTCGGACTTTATGCATTTATAGTTTCCTTATCTTCGGTTGCAGCCCGGCAATTTATAAGGATATTCGATAGAACTCTTGTGGGGGTTACGAGTACTTCCGTCGGAACGCAAAAATTACGAAAAAAATTCACTTTTATGGAACTTAGAAAATCTCTTCATACCTTTGTCGTACGTATTTTTTCTTCATATGTCTTTTTTTCAAAATAGTTAAAGATTGACTTCTTTTTCTTCTGACAGCTTTTTCTTCAAGATAAATAAAGATTTACATATGTTTTAATTATTGGTTACTTTACCACTCGATGTAGCAAGCGGACCTAAGATTAATAAATTTATAAAGGTGTGAATCGATGTCGAATGAATATAGGAGTCGCTGAAAGTATAAGATATGTTTTTAATTTTATTCCTTTTATTTGAATGAAGTATGCGCAAAAAGTTACTATAATAGTACGTTTAATATAAATTGTATACGTAACAGTAATTGAGCGTTAGCATGTTAATAATAACAGTAATATTAATAGTAATTGTAATAATAGTATGTTCGACATACTATTATCATACACACATCGACGACGCACTCTCGTTCCGCGCAGTATCGTAATATAAGAAGTAGCGTATAAAATTTAAAGTTTACTGAAAATCAAAGACACGCCGCTGCTTCTCATATTATGATACCACGCGGAACGAGAGTGCGTTGCCGATCGTCATTTGTGTTCGAGACGAGAACGACTGAATCGAACGCATTAGTGTCTTCCGCTCAACATGGTACAAAGGAGGACGATCAAGAACAATGTATGACAAGGTAAAATTACTTAGTTATTTAACCAATCAAGATTACCGAACAGTAGATAATGAGGATAAAATATTTCCACCATCTAACGAAATATATAAAATAATTTCTGAGATGTTTGCAGCTACGGGATATTATATTTCTGCAAAGCACATTTATACCATTTTAAAAAATGATAGAAATGGTATACACAGCACCGTGTTACAAGCATTTCAAATAAATACTAAAAGTGTAAACAGTTCTAAAAACACTTCATTAAATGTGTCAGACATAAATAATCCATCCTTAACCGAAAATGGATCCATAAAAATGCTATTAATATCTGAAGAGAAATGGCTATGTATGAAACTAATACATCAGACATATGGACATTACGGACGAAATTATGTAATATTACAACCCGGGAAATGGACGCATGTATTTGCGGAAAAAATATGGCAACAGGTAGCATTACCGTGCGCAATTTCTTTCAAGCGTGCAAAAGTTTTTACAGATATCCATGTAAAATGTTACACAAAATTTACTGGTAGATATAAAGAACACTACCGTGTTCTTTATATCTACCGTGCAAGATGTATATCTACTGTGCAAGATACCCTCCAAGTACACTTGGAGGGTATCTTGCACAGTAATCCTAAGAAAACGAGCGATATCATATTTAAATTCACTGGCTTTCCTTCAAACATTCCACACAAAAAGAAAAGACAATTACGCGGCCCATTGCGTACGGAAATTGCGAGCAAACTGTTAGATAGTAAGGAAAGCGCAAAGGTGCGGCTTAATGAAGAAGCCAATAGACTCATGAAAAGATAGTGTTCCACCAATTTTATACGATACTACAGTATTACGCAAAGCCAAACAAACCGAACTAGAAAAACGTTTAGAATTCAGTAGTACTGACCCAATAAAAAATGTACAAATAGCTAAATATCCACAGTTTCCTCAAACTATTCATAATATCGGAATTGATCTATTTTTTTGTATATATTGGAGCGAAAAGCAACGTTTAATGTACAAGAAATCCCATAAACAAGACATAAATTGCTTCCTTGCGATAGATGCTACTGGAAATATTGGGAAGAAAATACATTTGCCAAATGGTGAAAAATCATCACATATATTTTTATATCAAATCATATGTATTGGGTTGGCAACTAAGTGATTGCGGATTTTAAATAAGAATGAAAATTCAAAATTTTAAATTTGCTTTTTTAAATTTTTTTCAATGCA